AAATGTTTCTCTTCCTCCTCTTCCTCCTCACCTACTTCACTGGTAAAGTATGGCTTTCCTATGAGGAAGTGAAACATATTTTGGTCTTCCAATGCACAAGTCTACTTTTCTGGATATTTTATCTCTTTCTTGCCCCCTTTCTACTTTCCTTAAAGTTGATAAAATGCCTTTCTCTCTGAGAGCAGCTCAGTTGTATTTTTTCCCCATTTCTTCCACCTGCAGGCGCCTTGGCCCAGTCCACTTTGACTCAACCACCTTCTTTGTCAGCATCGCTTGGAGAGACAGTCAGGATCACCTGTGAAAGGACAGGTGGCAGCATTTCAAGCAACTATGTGAGCTGGCATCAGCAGAAACCTGGCAGTAGTCCTCTCACAGTGATCTATGCAGATAGCAGCAGACCTTCTGGAATCCCCGAGCGATTTTCTGGTTCTGTTGATTCTTCGTCCAATTCGGCCACCTTGTCCATCTCCAACATTGAAGGAGAAGACGAGGCACATTATTACTGTTTAGTTGCTGATAACAGCGGGCAGAGCACAGTGATTCCACCGTATGGAGAACCGAGACAAAAACTAAGAAGGTGTCTTTGCCCTGCTTGTCAGTTTCACTTTGCATTGCTGCAGGCAGCTGGCAAAACAGCTGGTTATAAAAAAAAAAAAAAAAAAAAAAAAAAAAAAGTTAAGCAATTCATTGCTTAAAGGGAATATAAAGGGAAATTGATCCAGTCCTGGAGAAAATGGGGTGGAGATAATGTAGGCCGTTTAACATGCTGATTTTCTGTGGCTGCTTAGCTTTTGATCGCCCCTTACGTTTCCATCACATTTACCATCCCCCACACTTCCTTCAGGGGTGACCTAATCAATTCTCAGCCCTTCTTCCCTGCTTTCGTGTCACTTCTCTTTTGGATAATGGGAAACTTTCAAGATCCAATCCAAGTTGTCTAAGTTGGTCAAGAAGTCAGGAAGGTGTCCAAGCCCTCCTTGAATGCTTCACTCGACATTGGTTGCAGGGGGCTGAGAAGAGGAGTGGACAGCCAGGCATCTCTATCAACATCCTCCCCACTGGACATTCCTAGATTAAGGTTGGGTGAATGGAGGAGGGCGCTTGGAATGGTATCTTCAGACCCTTTGCATGTTGCTGATCTAAAAGATTGCTGTGCCAAAGCTATGTGTTGGGCAGGCCATTTCTAAGCAGGACTACTGCTTTTCTTAATCAGTGTGAAACACATGTCCATAAATATTCCTGCTCACACCACACTTATGTAGAGGGGCGGCATGGGGCAAAGTGGGGCGGGAGGAGATCTATAATGAGGAATCTCTGACGTGATTGATGCGCTATGGGAATGGAACTTCTGGCAGAGCATCCAGTGGTGTCCTTGTGGTCCTGTAGCTCCTGTAAGGAGCCTGTGGACAGCCCTGGAACTGCATTGGACCATTGAATGGTGCTGCCTTACCTAGTAATAAATGAAGTCCATCCCTGGGAAAACCCTCCTTCACAGAAGGAGAGGAAAAACCAATCATGCTAAGAGAACATTGGTAATAGAAGCAAAGAGGGTTGGAAGATCCTGAGATGAGACTCTAGCAGAAGTCAAGGAATCCTAGAGCAGTTTGTGGTTTCCTGGTATGGGATCCATGAGCATTTGGCCATCACCAACATCCAGGGTGAAGATGAGGCTCATCCCTCTGGAATGTAGTTTGCTGACATATTTCACAGTGGTTAACTTTCTTGGGGCACTGTGATCAACCCCTCCTTCCTTCATCTTTAGAGGATTCTAACAAACCAATAGAATTTGATTTTTGCTGAGTTGTGGGAATCCAAGATAGAGAATATGCTAGGCGGATCAGGGTCCATTTGCCAATGAGGGCCATTTGTCTAGCAAAATGTGCCTGGTTCAGAAGACAGTTGCAATAAACAAAGTTGAAGCCATACTACAATCTCTCTATCAGGGCAGACATTTTCTGAAGGTCAGGATCACTTAGCGTTTTTTGGAGAGTGCAGGACCTCTGCAGCTGAGGAGCAAACGTGGGCAGGTTTGTTTTAGAGTTAATGGAGGATCAGGATGTTCTGGTTGGTTTTGTGCAATGGCTTCTTGGTTTGTCGTTCTTTGCTTTTTTAAAAATTATTTTAAGGCTAATTTTAGGAATTCTATTGCAATTGCACATTAGCTTTTACATGCTGATTAAGATTAGGTAGAACAACATAATTACCTTTATGCATACTGTAAGCATTTCCATTTCAAATTCATGTATAAAATAGGGTGTTTGAAGAAATTCAGAAGTTTCCCTGGTCCACAAGAGGGTGGTCAGATTTTAATGGAGACCTTTGAAGTCTTCCTCCATTTCTCAATCTCCTCTATCCAAATGTCTCCTGTGGTCATTGGCCAAACTAGAAGACCTCATAACGCTTTGGGGGAATACAATATTCATGTAGAACCAATCAGTGCAGATCTCATTTGCATGAAGGGGCCAAGCTGGGGCATTTAAGGAAAGGGAAGGAGAAGACCTCAGGAACTTTATAATTGTCCACCGTAAAGGGATATTCCTTGGAAAGTTCACCATGGGCTGGGCTGTGGTCTTCCTGGCGCTTCTCACTTACTGCACAGGTAAGGTGCAGAACACTCAGTTTTCCTGAGGGAAGAGAGGATTTGGGTGTGATTCTCATAAGAACATGGTCCCTTGGAAATGTCAAAGAGCAATGAGCAAAGAAAGTGCATCCCTGTCATGGTATTTTTTTTCTCCATCTCTCTCCTTCCCCCTTTTAAAGGCATCGACTGTCAGACCGTTTGGACTCAGCCTCCCTCCAGCTCCGTGTCCCTGGGAGGAACTGTCACCCTCTCCTGCAGAACAACTCAGAGTAGCTACAGCATTTGCTGGCATCAACAGAAATCTGGAAAAGCCCCTCGCTATGTCCAGTGTGATGGCTACAGCAGGGGAGAAGGGATCCCAGATCGGTTTACAGCCACCAGGTCAGGGAGTACGGGATCTTTAGCCATCACCAACACGCAGGTTGAAGATGAGGCAGATTATTACTGTGTTAGTCCGGACAGTGCTGGCAATCAGTTGCACGGTGGTAAATTCTTATGGGGAAGCGTGACAAAAACCTCCACTCTTCCTCTTCCACCTGAAACAAGAAGCAACAAAGCTTGGCCTGTGAGTGGGGACAGTTGAGCTGAAGAGACAGGAGAGAAACTCCTGCAGGTCCATTTCCATCTCCAAAGAGCTCTCTCTCCCCTCCGCCACCCAAGGAGAGTGATGGACACAGGAGTATGGAAGCGGAGGGCATAGGGGAAACCAGCAGCCCTATGGGCTTAGGTTGCTAACTGGTTTGGAAAAAATATATATTTGAAAATCTTTAACTGCCTCATCTGTTTCAAAAGTTGTAATATACAGCAGACCTTCAGAAGCAAGAAGGTTTTAGCTGAGATGGGG